TAGAGCAACCGGACAGATTGTTTCTGACTGCCTTAAAAAGGAGTCTTAAATGTCCTTACTACCTGTGAGATATTCCTGAGGCTCATTTTATGCGTGCTTCTCCAAAAAATAAATAAAATAATCGCTTACAGCACCTTTAATGGAGGTGTGCAATCATCTAAGCTAAATATCAAAGCATAGACAAGAAAAAGGGTGCTGACCACTTTATCCTCCTGTTGCAATTCCACAGGGGAAGAAAAGCAAGAGAGAAAGACAAGGGAAAAAAGAAGAGGAGAGAACAAGTGTGAGTGACATTCGGACACACATAAAGAGATGTTCATGTGCTACTGCAGCCAATCACATCGCCGCTTATTACTCTGAGCAAAGTCATTTAAAAGCACTAAGACTGTACTGGGAGAGAGACATCAAAAGGTTAGATAAGCAGTTTCTGGCCTGATACATCCATCGCCCCGGGCCAACAGGCGAGGTGGTAAAAACAGAGGGAGTATCGCCCTCTTGTGGTCATCGCATTACCTGCTCAACCCTCAGCGACCAGCTCTGTCTGTCAATATGGGGTGCTGTGTGTACATTAATGAGGAAAAAAAATTAACTTAAATGATTTTAGCAAATGGCTGCAATATAACAAAGAGTGAAAAATTTAAGGGGGTCTGAATACTTTCCGTACCCACTGTATATATTTTTTTTACTCGTACACAATTAAAAAAAAACTATATACAATATCATAAAATGTTTTTGAATAAATCCTCAAAACACATATTGTTCTAAAAAGGAAACCCACATTCACAATGATTACTCTGCACAAAGTCATTTAAAAGCACCAAGACTGTACTGGGAGAGAGACATCAAAAGGTTAGATAAGCAGTTTCCGGCCTGATACATCCATCGCCCCGGGCCAACAGGCGAGGTGGTAAAAACAGAGGGAGTATCGCCCTCTTGTGGTTTTGGTGTTTGTGTGAATGACACTGTGCACCTTCTTTATATGTTATTATTTAAAAGCTGCTTGTGATGGGCTTTGGTTCATCATGTGACTTTCTCATCACCACCTGCATTTGGTGGTTATCAGTGTATTACAAAGGTGCAAAACAGATTTCAGTACTTCAATAGGTTGGTATATTAACATTATATCAGTTAATGAAATTACGGTATTTAACTGTAAATTTAAGTTAAAACCGTCACACCTAAAACGTTGCTACCGTATTTTTTTTACAGTAAAATTCCGGCAACCACAGCTGCCGTTTTTTTACCGGAAATTTTACGGACATTTTTTTACAGTGTATGCACAGAATCAAAATAATGGCTTATGACTATGTTTTGCTGGTTGTCAATAAGCACTAGCTCTGATTAAACTCTGTTGCGACTGCAGGTGTCAGACTGACACTCGACAGAAATAAGAACTGTCTGTTCTTCAGCCCACTTCACGTGCAGCCTTGAGACTATTTGTGGCTGAATTCATGCAAAGATAACACGTCAAGCTCACGTGCATCACCTCATATAGACTGTAAATCTGACAGAGATGTAGACATGACAGAGCTGCCCACAGTTCCAACTACAAAACCTGATCATTTATCAATGCATTCAAAATCAAATAAATATCAACTTGATCTTGAGCAGGCAGATCACCTTGAGCGTGTTTATATAAGGGTGGTGTTTAATCATGCACCCTCTCATTACTGTAAGAGAGCAGAGGGGGTCAAAGGCTTGAGACAGAGCCTGAAACGCTAGCTGAAGGCACGCATGACGCACATGCATTTTGTATGTCCCCTGTCAATTAACCGTAGCCGTGGAAACCGAACACTGGGGGCTAACGCCATAAGCTGTCGATTAGAGGTTTAGTCCCACATCTGCCCCTGCAACATTCATTAGCAGGCTGAATTATTGAACACGCTGATCTATTTACTACAGCAGAACACCTGGGTGTTACCCAGAATTCACCTGGCCACCTCCCACCAAACTCAAACTTGAGCACATTCAATCCCATTCATTGCACTAGCATATTTAGTCCATTTCACACTTGTAAAAGTCCCACTGGTGAAATACCTATTATATTGTAGTACAGTATTGGATATACATGTTGGTTTTATCAGAATACACCGACAATATTTTTGACCAGTGCTGATATCAACTAAAACTGTTAAAAACATGTTTTGTTAAGTGAAATAAAATAAAATAAAATAAAAATGAGATGAAAGACAAATGAAAATGATAAATGTTGCTGAAATAATGGAAATAAGTTGAGGCACTTAAATTAACTGTAAATAAATATAAAGTAAAAACTGTACTACAATTCATGTGAAAAAAAAAAAAATTTATATTAAGGTAAAAAAAATTAAGCCTAAAGAGTAATATATATATTTTTTTAAATGGGTTGAATGCTGCAAATGAATGACAAAAGACCATACAAATAAATGGGTAAAATTATAGTCAATGTGAAATTGAAGTGACATTTAACTGAATGTGAAATTAGAAGTAAAATTAAAGGTTTAAGTTTAAAATAAAAGATAAAATAAAAGCATATTATATATAAGCATATTAGTCAAGTTTTTGAACAGTAAGATTTTTAATGTTTTTTAAAAGAATTCTCTTCTGCTCACCAAGCCTGCATTTATTTGATCCAAAGTACAGTAAAATCAGTAATATTGTGAAATATTTTTACTATTTAAAATAACTACTTTCTATTTGAATATATTTAAAAATGTAATTTATTCCTGTGATCAAAGCTACATTTTCATCATCATTACTCCAGTCTTCAGTGTCACATGATCCTTCAGAAATCATTCTAATATGCTGATTTGCTGTTCAAGAAACATTTATTATTATTATTATTATTATTATCAATATTTAAACCTGTTGAGTATATTTTTTTTAGGATTATTTGATGAATAGAAAGAACCAAAGATCAGCATTTATCTGAAATAAAAAGCTTTTGTAACATTATACACTATACCATTCAAAAGCTTGGAGTCAACATTTTTTTTTTTTTTAAAGAAATTATAGAAATTAATACTTTCATTAACAAGGATGCTTTAAATTGATCAAAAGTGATGATAAAGACATTTATAATGTTACAAAAGATTTCTATTTCAGATAAATGCTGTTCTTCTGAACTTTCTATTCATCAAAGAGACCTGAAAAATTCTACTCGGCTGTTTTCAACATGATAATTATTTTTTTCTGAGCAGCAAATCAGAATATTAGAATGATTTCTGAAGGACCATATGACTGGAGTAATGATGCCAAAAATTCAGCTTTGAAATCACTGGAATAAATTACATTTTATAATATATTCAAATAGAAAACAATTATTTTAAATAGTAAAAATATTTCATAATGCGTCTCACCAGCAGGTACTAACTTTGAAGCTAACCGGCCAAACCTGTCAACCTGGACCCCACCAGACAAGTCAGTGACCTTTCACCCCTCTAGGATCAAATCACACCAATGAGCAGGTCTGCTTTCACCAACCCCTCTGCCCTCTTACCCTCCGAACATGTGGATACACAGTACCACTCACTGTCTGACCCTCGCTCCCCTCTCAGATACACGGCAGATAGCCTTCAGCTAATGCAATATTAGATTTTAGTCTGTGTCACGAGACAGCCGCCTGCCAGAAAAAAGATCAGATCATGTGTGTTTGGAACGGAGAAAACGATGACACATTTTACATTAAACCCAGCATCTATCCCTCCCATATTCACCCGGGCTCCAGACAGCAGTCAGGTGGATGATGGGAAGGCTGGAGGAGCTCCAGAGGTCTGGCAGGTGCGCTGGCTCAGGTAGCATTACAGACAGCTGGAGACCACAGCACCGCTCACCTCCAGAGACGCATAACCCATAATATAATCATACGCCATTCTTCACGTCTCGTCTGACAAACAGCAGATAGAGAAGTCAAAGAAACACGAGCCAGTACACTGATACGCACTCCCTTTATGAGTGACACCGCGGCCACCTGAAGACCTGCGCTTTACCCGTTTTAGCTTCTTACAAATTTGTAGTCGACTTCTCGTGTAACACAAAACCCATGCTTAATGCTGCTCTCTAATGCAGATCTCGTAATCAAATCGAACTGATGGGCCATAATGAGCGAAACATGCCTGTAGTACCTAATATTTAGGATAATAAATAGGACCTGTTAATTTATTACATTAATTTAGAATAATGAATTATATTTCACAGAATAAAAATAACAAAATATATATAACATCATAAAAATAACAACTACATTTCTCATGCCCACTGACCCATATTGAAACTAATTTTTACGATCTGAGCAACTTAAACTATTAAATATTTTCATTTTCCACTATAACGTAATGCCATTAATTTGTCTTCATTTGAGGACTTCAGGCAAACTGGCAAGTTTTCAAAAAAGATTAAATGTGTTAATGCATAACATATAATGAATTAAACAAACAAATAATATTTTATTGATTTCTACATACAATAATACTTGCATTATTTTTTATAAATAAACACTTATTATTATGAATGAACATGGAAATATTATTTCATATTGTGTACACATTTTATATTTTATTAATAATAATTATTATATTTATTATTTATTATTAAAATAAGTGGCTTTTTACATTTAATATAAAATAGTGAATGAGCATGAATTAGCAATTAACACTAAACTGTCTTAACAATAAACTAAATCTATCTATCTATCTATCCATCTATCTATCTATCTATCAAATTAATTAAAATTAATGATTAACAAATGCTGTAAAAGACATTGTTATTTCAGAATGTCTAATGCATTGATTAATGCTAACAAATTCAATCTTATTGTAAAGTGTTACCAGCAAATGTATACGTGTAATTTATTAAACATTTGTGTGAACTGATAGCCTTTTTTGACCATTTAATTAATTGTCAGATTAAGTGAAAGGGGAGTCATATCGTCATATCATCAGAAATGCCACATAACTGAAGGTTTGTCTGGGCGATACAGCGTTTTGAGTGTTGAGGGCAAAGATGAATCCATTCAGTCTTACTTACGTCTCTGGCTCCTTTGGAGGCTCTGTTTGTGGTTGGTTTTGGGACTTTGTCTGGGGCTGGAGAACATTACTAACCAGATCAGTGATTCCGCTAAAGGGAAACCACCTGTATGAACAAGCAGACAGCGCAACTCAAAAACCGGTCAACAAGCCTACTTCCATTCAACACACGCGCCAATATCATCATGACAACTGCAGTGAAGCTACATACATGAGAAACACACATGTACAGCTACAAAAACTACTGGGATAGAGAGAAAGAAAGACAGAGAGAGAGGGACAGACTAGTCTCAGCCCACTGACAAGCTCATGCATATTGCACACAAACCGGTCACTTTCTCAATCTGGCAAGCTCAAATCTTATTGGTCGGCTTTATGCCCAGAAATCAGAATACAGTTTTTATCCCACCCATAATGTACAAGGTTGCTATAAACATTTTTGGTAAAAACAAAATCACTAGATGTGTCAATTAGTATCAAGTAAACTAGATATGCATGAGTAAAACTTTATATTCGGCTTTGTTTTTGAGTTATAACTGTAAAATAAATAAATAAATAAAGCAATATTTATTTATTTTGGATAAACAGAAACTCTAATTACAAAGTTCACAAATTGTACTATATTTTCCAGCATTTCTCATATAGCTGGTCTTGGATGGGAAATGCTGTGCAATTTTCCCCACAGTTTTCTACTATTGTGAAAGAAGTAAGATCTAGTATAGTAAGAGCTATTTCACATAAACTGCCCCTAAATGAAATGTACAAGCAAAATGTACTGTGATTGGTCGCTTTACATGTCAGTCAAACAATCTCTTCCAGTCTAAGTAGTTTTTTCTTGGCTTTAAGTAGTAAAACTAAATGGACTTTCTAAAAATTCTGGCCATATGAGACTAAGTAAGAAGAGTAGTAAGACTAAGAAGAAAAAGAGAAAGAGAAGATAGAAAACTGAGAGATGGAACAACAGAAGAGGGGGCACAGTCAGCTGGAGAAGGAAGCAAAGAAGCCGGAGCGAGTGAAATGAATTTTGCATCCATCAGCCGTGTATCCACAGATACAGAGAAAGAGATCAAACAGTGTCCATGTGCAACTCACAGAGTCGACGAACAAGCAAAATAAAGCAGGTCTGATGCATCCAGCCTATATGTGGATGAAGCTGCCAAAAGCTTTTCGGATAGAGCCATGACAGACTGCAGGCAGCCAATCACTAGAGAGAGGAGGGGAAAAGAGCTGCCAATCACAGAGGAAGCCACAGCAAACGCACACGCCACTAACCAGCCAGGCGGGAATGTCAAAGCCTTGAGGCTTGAGGTCTCTAGCTAAGATCAGGCCCACACAGAATCTGTGCATGGACAAAACCTGCAGAATTTGAGCGGCCAACAAAGTTCTGCTCCTTTATTGTTTGTTTACTAAATGATTTGGCTGATCTGATTATGATTTGCTTTGCCAATGAGAGTGTTCTGCAGCTTTTGTGAGAAAATGTGGGAAAACAGTTTCCGTCTAGGCCTGACTGAGTGTTACTTACTGGACTGGCTGAGACTTTGGATCTTCTTTGACCCTAAAAATAAAAAAATAAATAAGTGAACATAAGAGAAGGATGACAACAGAAATAAAAGACAACAAAAGTGTCATTCTAAAAATGACAAACAAAAAATGATCATAAAAGCATGGAAACACATTCAAACAAAGACAAATACATGTAATATACTGGCCATACATGTTATCCAATATCTATCCAATCCAATTTCAATAATTTGATTTGTTATGAATATAATATCTTAAATCTCATATAATTTATATTGTTAATATTTAATAATTATATATATATATATGTGTGTGTGTGTGTGTGTGTGTGTATATATATATATATAGAGAGAGAGAGAGAGAGAGAGAGAAATTGTTAGTTATTATTTAATTATATATAAGATCTTAGTCATACTAACCATCTGCCAATACATGCAAAAAACAAAACAAAAAAAAAACATGCAAACAGATATGAACACGATCATTTTTAAACATATACACAAACAGAAAACATGTAAAGACATGGAACACTTAAATGCAAAAACTTAAGCAAATAATAGATAACAGAAAAACAGAAAAAAAGACAGGGACATTATCGTTCTGCCCTCCACAGATATGCTGCATGAGTCGACCATAGAAATACCCATCACTGTCCACAACACAGAGACTCAAACACATTAATACAATAAAATCTACCCTAAGGAGGGTTAAGAGGGTTAATGAACACCCTAATGTAAGAAATCCTGAAAAAACAGTATATCATGCCATCAGCCAAGCATTCCTAGCAGTTTCAGGTTTTGTTTTGCTAAATGTGGACTCCCTTTTTTTTTTTTTACCTGTCTGAGATCTGTGCATTTGTGTGTGAGTTTAAAGTGGAAAAACACCTGAATTTAAAAATTGTTACAATTATCTACTGAAACATTCTGTGCAAAATGGTAAAACAGTGTGACACTGCCCCCTAATGGTCAAATATTAAGTAACAGATGTCAACCTCTGCATCTGTCACAGGAAAAAGTGCAGCAGTGTTAAACCCGAGTGAAATTTGAAATATACAATACATAGTTTGACTATGTGGCAAGATGGCTTCCTTCAGTTTCAGTCACACACTAGCACTGTGTTGTCGTGTTAAATTGCAGAAAAACGGCACAAGTTAAGCCTTGACTCGTCTTGAGTGTGATGTTCTAACCAAATTATCCCTCTTTCTTAGCTGTTCTCAGACTGTTAATTTAACCTCAAATGACTGTCCTTGCTCCTCCTCGTCCCTCTCTGTTCTCTGGATCTCTGTGGTGCTCTTGAGTGGAGGTGGAGACAGAGGCCTCATTGATGTGACAGCTATAGAATGAGAGCTGAATCATCACTTTAAATAACACACCCCACATCTCACCATCAGACTCGCAGCACGCTCCTCTTAAAGGAGTATTCCTGCTTATTTTCAACCTAACGTCCATCAGTTCCATCTGTCCAGACCTCGGTAAATTTTTCACGTTCAAAAATAAAATTGGTTCTCTGAATGACTAATTGCTGTTTAAAACTCCTCATATGAATGTCTGCATGACATATTTAATACAGTTTGCAAGAATGTTTAGCGTCCGTGGTATGAAAACGATCGCTGCAAGACGCTGGCGGAGTGAACGAGTCTTGAGAGAGTTGAGGGTACAGGATCCAACTATTATAAGCGTTTTGGACTTTTCTTTTCCACTTAATTTTACACTTTAGAAAGTTAATAAAGTGGGAAGTTGCAGTATAGGGTCAGCGATATCTTTATCTTATTTGCAAAAAAATGTATACAGTTTGCAAGAATGTTTAGCGTCCGTGGTATGAAAACGATCGCTGCAAGACGCTGGCGGAGTGAACGAGTCTTGAGAGAGTTGAGGGTACAGGATCCAACTATTATAAGCGTTTTGGACTTTTCTTTTCCACTTAATTTTACACTTTAGAAAGTTAATAAAGTGGGAAGTTGCAGTATAGGGTCAGCGATATATTTATCTTATTTGCAAAAAAATGTGAAATCATTTTGGTTCATTTTTATTTATTTTTTTCAGTTTTTATAGCAATATCTGGCAACACTGCATGATCGCCGGCACTTAAACTGACAGTAATTTAAAAAAGCCCATGGACAGGTTATTGCTGACAGGATAGCACATTGGGTTAGGGAAACGCAAAAAATGTCATGATATTATCTGTCAGAAAAGTGATCAACGGTGTCATAAACATTAACACTAGTACACAGACCTGTAGAACAAGTAGGTTACAGAATGAAATGAAATAACCTACCCAAACACTACCCATTAAGAAGTCTATGCTATGTCATTCAGTATAGTAGTTACATTTTCACAAATCATGCTAAAAACATTCATAAGTGCACTAGACAAATTATCATAGCAATGATTATTAATGAAAACTATCACAGCAATATGTATTGTTGCATGATTAATAAACAACTGATACAATTATCCACCCCTAACCTATAGTAAAACAATTAACACATTTTGATACAATAAATATGGTATAATTTAACAGTGTTCATCCCTCCAAAACAGAGAAAACATCTTTCACAAACATCTACATCTCTGTCTCTTTTAAAATGTTAGTGTATATAATGAGTTCTATTGTAGGGGTTATTATAGCACAATTCATAACCCCAGCCCTCACTAATTTTCAAACCCTGGCTATGGGTGTGCTTTTGAACCATGTTTTTGTGACAACAAAACAGGATCAGTAATGTACTTACACAACCCCTTTTAATAGTAGTGTTTTTTCTCACTTCCTCTTTCTTAAAGTATTATAAACAATATGATATGTAAACAGGACTCTTTATTAATTTATATAAGGTCATTCAGAAATGAGCATGGTCGCTGGTACTGATAGTTGCCATGTTATTAGGACAGCGTGGCGTTGGGTGAGGTTGTCATGTTAACCTTTACGCAGTGGAAACACTGGATTACACATTCATACACACGTTGTGACCATTACCAAAACATGTTACATACAGGTATGAAAGCAAAAACATGACTTCAGACCACCGTGATTATAAGAAAAATGTGGTTGAAGGGCTAGTAGCACAATTACTAAGTGGAAATAAATATAAACTAAAATTAAATCTAAATGGTGTTTTAAAAAACTGACATAAGCGCATTACAAAATAACTAAAACTTAAACAAAAATAAAAAGGACTGATAATATAAAAATAAAGCCTAATCCAAAATATTAAACTAGCATATAAATAATACTAAAATACCACTGACCTGCAGCCCTTCACTAAGTGCTGTTGCTCATATCATATGCAAAGCGGACAATAACTACTTAATGATTTTATATAAAATTATTAAAACCACAACAGCAAAAAAGTATGTTTAATTAAAGGGGTCAGAGAGCCACGTGCCATGAAATAAGCAGACTACAGATAAAAAAATAAAATAAAAAAAGAAATGCATAATTTGACCAGTTTTTCTGCTAGCACTAAAACGCTGTTCTATCTGAAGTGTGTGTGTTTGTATAAGCGTGGACACACTGGACTCCTGCTGTCAGCGATGCACAGAAGAGGAAAGTCCTGTTACATAACACAGAGCTGAATCTCTGCATGGGGCATAATTACTCCACAATTACAGCTGTCAGTGTGCCAGTCTGTGCTGGTCAGTGGGGCTGGCAGCGCCCGCGCTCTCCTGTCTGCCATCACTACCACAACCTCCAGTCTGAGCTTAAAGAAAAAAATCTTGAGTTATCAAAATAAATTCTCTTTCTGTGTACAGTTGTACACTTCGGATGACCTGTAGCAGGAAAACTGAACAGAGAAATGTACAGCTTGGTAAAGCATTTAGATAAATTTTAAGAAAAAAGTATTCACTGACTATCTGTAAAGTCCAGAACTGCATCCTTGCATACTTTTGCCATAGATGACATGCACAGTACATCATAGGCAAGGGGGAAAACAAGCTAAATAATTTTTATGGAGTAAAAATACAGTTTTTAATAAAAAAAATAAAAAAAAGTTTCTTGAGCGGCAAATCAGCATATTAGAATGATTTCTGAAGGATCATGTGAGACTGAAGACTGGAGTAATGATGCTGAAAATACAGATTTGCCATTGTTTAATAAATTCCATTTTATTAAATTGTAATTCTATTTTACAGTATTACTGTTTAATTGTATTTTTGATCGAATAAATGCAGCCTTGGGGAGAATAAGAGACTTAAAGTCTGGGTGAACCGGAAGTTGCTGCGACTGGATTTCAGTGTGGTGATGTATTTCCAGCTGAAACGGAATATTGAGTAGAGGACGGGGTTTTATTTTTGCGCTCCTCCTCTCATCTCTCACTCACAGCAAACTAACGGTCGTCGGAGGGGCGTGGTTAAGCATATTCTGCCCAAACTGTCAAACTGACGTCATCAGAGAAGGCATGCCATTCCTGAGCAGAAGCAAATTATCAGATTTTGATTAAAGATTACCAAAACAAACAATTTTTTTCCGCGGATTAGCTTGCACGGATTAATTGTTGACCTTAAAACTAACAATGTGTGCTAACAAAATAAATATTGTAAATTTTGATTTCATGCGTAAAAAATCCATCAACCCCAAATTTCTAGTGTATAATCTCTGAAAATAACAGTTGAAATTACCCAGGAATATTTAAGGTTCAAAACATGGTATAAGCCAACACATTCTCACTCGTCACATATTGACGCTTTGTCAGGACCCTTTGGCGTCGCTTTTTGACGCACAGGGTACCCCTTTAGCTTCATTTTTCGTTGTGCAGGGTCCTCCATTGCTTTAAATAAGAAACCATTGGCGTCAATATGTCGACGCGAAAGGCATTGGGAATTTTATCATCATGATTAAATTATATATTGGGTAATAATATTACCGTTATTGTATATATGTTGGGGTGTGATTTTTCAATGTAAACAGTCACAACAGTTTTATTTATATTACACTATTTACACATTTATGAGCATGTAACCCAACCCCTGCCCTGAAACCTACCATTTGTCAATAAAACACAAGATATAACAGGCAGATGCAGAAAAAAAAGTATTA